GGAGGGCTGCAGACACACCCAGGAGGAGCTGCACCACACCCAGAAGGCGCTGCACCACACACTCCAGGAGGAGCTGCAGCACACACCCAGGAGGCGCTGCAGACACACCCAGAGGAGCTGCACCACACACCCAGAAGGCGCTGCACACACACCCAGGAGGCGCTGCACCACACACCCAGGAGGCGCTGCAGCACATACCCAGGAGGCGCTGCAGCACACACCCAGGAGGCGCTGCACCACACACCCAGGAGGCGCTGCACCACACACCCAGGAGGCTGCACCACACACCCAGGAGGCGCTGCACACACCCAGGAGGCGCTGCACCACACACCCAGGAGGCGCTGCACCACACACCAGGAGGCGCTGCACCACACACCCAGGAGGCGCTGCACCACACACCAGGATGCGATGCAGCACACACCAGGAGGCGCTGCAGACACACCCAGGGAGCTGCACACACACCAGAAGGCGCTGCACCACACACCAGGAGGAGCTGCACCACACCCAGGAGGCGCTGCACCACACACCCAGGAGGCGCTGCAGCACACACCAGGATGCGATGCAGCACACACCCAGGAGGCGCTGCAGACACACCCAGGAGGCGCTGCACCACACACCCAGAAGGCGCTGCACCACACACCCAGGAGGAGCTGCACCACACACCCAGGAGGCGCTGCACCACACACCCAGGATGGATGCAGCACACACCGGAGGCGCTGCAGACACACCCAGGAGGCGCTGCACCACACCCAGGATGCGATGCAGCACACACCCAGGAGGCGCTGCACCACACACCAGGATGCGATGCAGCACACCCAGGAGGCGCTGCACCACACACCCAGGAGGCGCTGCACCACACACCCAGGAGGCGCTGCACCACACACCGGAGTGCACCACACACCCAGGAGGCGCTGCACCACACACCCAGGAGGCGCTGCACCACACACCCAGGAGTGCTGCACCCAGGAGGTGCTGCACCACACACCCAGGAGGTGCTGCACCACACACCCAGGAGGCACCACACACCCAGGAGGCGCTGCACCACACACCCAGGAGGTGCTGCACCACACACCAGGGGCCACAGGGGCTGCACCACACACCCCAGGAGGTGCTGCAGACACACCCAGAAGGAGCTGCACCACACACCCAGAAGGCGCTGCACCACACACAGAAGGAGCTGCAGCACACACCCAGGAGGCGCTGCAGACACACCCAGGAGGGCTGCACCACACACCCAGAAGGCGCTGCACCACACACTCAGGAGGAGCTGCAGCACACACCCAGGAGGCGCTGCAGACACACCCAGGAGGAGAGCTGCACCACACACCCAGAAGGCGCTGCACCACACACAGGAGGCGCTGCACCACACACCCAGGAGGCGCTGCAGCCATCCAGGAGGCGCTGCAGCACACCCGGGAGGCGCTGCACCACACACCCAGATGCGATGCAGCACACACCCAGGAGGCGCTGCAGACACACACCAGGAGGCGCCACCACACACCCAGGATGCGATGCAGCACACACCAGGAGGCGCTGCAGACACACCCAGGAGGCGCTGCACCACACACCCAGGATGCGATGCAGCACACACCCAGGAGGCGCTGCAGACACACCAGAAGGAGCTGCACCACACACCCAGAAGGCTGCACCACACACCCAGAAGGAGCTGCAGCACACCCAGGAGGCGCTGCAGACACACCCAGGAGGAGCTGCACCACACACCCAGAAGGCGCTGCACCACACACCCAGGAGGAGCTGCAGCACACACCCAGGAGGCGCTGCAGACACACCCAGGAGGAGCTGCACCACACACCCAGAAGGCGCGCACCACACACCCAGGAGGCGCTGCACCACACTCCAGGAGGCGCTGCAGCACATACCCAGGAGGCGCTGCAGCACACACCCAGGAGGCGCTGCACCACACACCCAGGAGGCGCTGCACCACACACCCAGGAAGAGCGCAGCACACACCAGAGGAGCTGCACACACACAGGAGGCTGCAGCACACACCCAGGAGGCGCTGCACCACACACTCCAGGAAGAGCTGCAGCACACACCCAGGAGGCGCTGCACCACACACCCAGGAGGCGCGCACCACACACCCAGGAAGAGCTGCAGCACACACCCAGGAGGCGCTGCACCACACCCAGGAGGGCTGCACCACACACCAGGAAGAGCTGCAGCACACACCAGGAGGCGCACCACACACCAGGAGGCTGCAGCACACCCAGGAGGAGCTGCACCACACACAGGAGGCGTGCAGCACACACCCAGGAGTGCTGCAGCACACACCAGGAGGCGCTGCACCACACACCCAGGAGGCGCTGCACCACACACCCAGGAAGGCTGCACACACACCAGGGAGGCTGCAGCACACACCCAGGAGGAGCTGCAGACACCCAGGATGCGCTGCACCACACACCCAGGAGGCGCTGCACCACACACCCAGGAAGAGCTGCAGCACACACCCAGGAGGCGCTGCACCACACACCCAGGAGGCGCTGCACCACACACCGAGGAGAGCTGCAGCACACACCCAGGAGGCGCTGCACCACACACCCAGGAGGCGCTGCACCACACACTCCAGGAAGAGCTGCAGCACACACCCAGGAAGAGCTGCAGCACACACCCAGGAGGCGCTGCACCACACCCAGGATGCGCTGCACCACACACCCAGGAGGCGCTGCACCACACACCCAGGAAGAGCTGCAGCACACACCCAGGAGGCGCTGCACCACACACCCAGGAAGAGCTGCAGCACACACCCAGGAGGAGCTGCACCACACCCAGGAGGCGCTGCACCACACACCCAGGAGGCGCTAGACCTTTACTCCCGCCTCTCACCTGCACTACACTGCTCCTTAAATAATTTATTGTCTTTTCCCAGATAAACTACCACACAAAGTCACTACACAAACAATGATTCGTTGTTCATATTGTTCACATACACTGAACAATACTGGCTTAAGTACTGGGTTTTATAGCGCCATTCTCACCACTTCACTCCTACAGTAAGGTTTTATCCCACAAGAAATAATTACTTTCCATTTGTAAGTATTAGTAATTACTGTAACTTTATGAGTGGACTTGCAACTTAAAATTATTTGTAAGATCTACGAAAAGAAATTGATCAACTCGACATACATTATTTTTCAGAATTACAAGACAACTCTGATTTTTTTTTTGGGGCGGGGGGCGTTTTTTTTGGGGGGGCGTTTCTGTAATTAGGAAACATGAGAGTACCGGGACAAGATGTGTGTCGTATGTGTGATAAATCCTCGCAAGTGACAGCACGAGCCAGCAGTAGTACTTAAACCCATAGTCACATTAATCCTATTATATTATCTTAATGACAGGAAATTCTTTGTTTAGTATGTAATGTTTGCGAACTACCAAGAATTTTTTTTTTTTATGTTTTCAGAGAACGAGGTGGCGCATTTACTTCTGGTGGATGAGTGTAAAATTACAGTCATTGGCAGCCAGGAAAATGTTGTTTCTTGTTTATCTGTTTACAGGGACAGTCGATAGGTGTTGCTGATGTAGTGTTTCGTAGAACTCTCGTCGTTTTGAGGAAAGGAGGATTACCAGAGAGTAGACCAAGATTACCCTCTTAAACCGTTTCTTTGTTTACTGTCGTAGCATTCATACAATAAACACAAAATGTATCTGTATATTTTTTATTATTCATATTATACATTTTCATCACCAACGGAACTAGTTCAGAAGACGGGATCAATATGAAAATTATGTTGACTTTGATACTGTGTTATTCTTCATATAACTTTCACCCTCCCTCAGTGATACACGCCTTGAATAGCTCACCTGTTATTGACTTAAGTTTTGGACAATATGTTTATACTTTTTTTATACCAAACTGGAAATGTTCTGGCTGCCTCCTGAAGCCATGATGGACTTGTTACCTTATATTCGTGATTATGAGTCCTTCTCATTCCTCAAAATCTTCGTTCCTTAGCCAAATAACTTGGTATAAGAGCCACCGAGGGAGCACATCACGTACCATAGCCCGGATGTAAGAGGTAAATATCACCTTTTTTTTCTGATGGATGGAAGCAGAGGCCAGCGGACATTGCCCTCTCCCTCAGTAACCCAAAACCAAATAAACAACTCACTAAACACTCGACAGTCGGCTTTATATTCTCGTGTACACAATTAGCTTACTGTAGAGTCCCTCGTCGCCATCAAGACTGAGGAGGCGGAAGCTGTCTGTCACCCCCCCCAGCAGCTCACACACTAATATACTATGACTTGGAAAATCCCGCTCCGGGTTGATGGTGAAGGTGTGTGTGTGTGTGTGTGTGTGTGCGTCCTTCCCCACACTGACACGTATCAGGTGAACTCCATCACCAGTCTTGTATTTATCAGCTAACCTTTCTTCATATATTTTTCTCATTAATAGATCTATCCATAACACACACACACACACACGACGTTATAAATCTTGCGGGGATATCGTTCACTCTGTCAGACTAATTGTAAATTCTTCAGAAAACCGATGAAGCAATTTCTCATAAGTGTCCATCTGTGCCAGGTGTCATGTCAGGCAGGTGGTGACACAGGAGAGGAATGGTATTAACTTATGTCCTTCATACACCCCCTAAAGGTATATGTTTTCTTCGATGTCATCAGCCGCTGCGTAGTTCACATTGTTGTTGATGGTATGCAGGGTGATGTGACTCAAGGGCTCTTCTCTGTTTGCCTTGATATCACGTTGGTCAAGGAGTGTTCTGTGTTTGTTGGCTTCATAGACTCGGATCTTGAGATTGTTTGAATATAAATCTAAGTTTTTGATTTACCAAAGATATGTGAGTAGCTTCGACGAGTCACAGTTCGAGATAAACTGCATTATTTTAGTATTATGATCACAAGAGATTCCAATTAATTGTATGATAAAATGTTAGTTTGATGTTATGCTGGAGTAATATCTAATAACTGTACATCTGAAGCAAGAACGAATAAATTAAAGTTTGACTCCCCTACAGGTGCTGGTGGGGACGCCGTCGGAAGGTGTACTGCTGAAGGGAGACATCATCACCAAGATCAGTTGCACCGAGACCAAGAACATTACACACCAGCAGGCCGCAGATCTCTTTAATAACGCAGGCAACCAGATCGCCGTCCAGATCAAAAGGTAAGGCGGTCCTGGTGCGGGAGGGAGGAGAGGTGTGATAAGATGGTGTGGGAAGGCAGACTATATACTACTCAGGAAGCCGGCGGTCCTTTCAACTGATTTAATTTATCGAGTCAGTCGCTGGTGAAAGTTACACGTGACAGGGGAGCGGTAAGAGGAGGGATGGGGAATGTAAAGGGAATCAGACACCTTATAAGAGAGCATCTGAACTTTTTGGGGGGGTGGGGGAGGGGGGGGTTGGCTAAAGAGAACAATAGAGAGAAAACGATCAGGTACTTCTTTGTTGACGACGCGAAAGAATGGGAAATATAATGGGAAACTGCCTTTGTTTCTCTTCAGTGGTAAAGGTAACTTATACCTCACTTCTTGGCGAGATATAAGACGACAGACCATCAACGGGAGACAATGATAGGGGCAGCCAATAAGGAATCAACACTAAAGGAAACGAATAAGTGATAGAAGAAAACAAAAGACGAATCAATGATATACGACATAAGGAGTATATACCTATTGTATATCTATTTGTCATTTTGTTACAAGACTCTAGAAAACAAAAGAAGATCTAGTTAACGTAATCAATAGGTGGTTATGAACAGGTAATATAATTATTGGTAACAGTGAAGAATAAACGGCTGGTATACAGATGATATATATATATATATATATATATATATATATATATATATATATATATATATATATATATATATATATATATATATATATATATATATATATATATATATATATATATATGCTCGATAAAACAGGATACAACAGCGTCAGAAATGGGTGTCAGCGGAAGAGGAGGTGTCATAGAGCCAATGTCAGCAGCAGGGGGTATGAGAAAATCCGAGAAATAACACACGAGTCTATTATCAGCAACAGAGGAAGCATGACGTGCACAGTGTCAGCAGCAAGAAGGAGGAATGAGAGGAATATATCAACCGCAGAGGAGAAGTGACAATGACAGTGACAAAATCAGTAGTAAGGGAATGATAAGAGGGAGAGCGTCAAGAAGAGTACCCCCCTTCCCTTCCCTTCACTGTTAATGGTCAAGGAAGGGTTTTCAGTCGTTATTCCGTCCTGCATTAGCGTCTGGGGTGCAGCCAACTCCCTCACCACAGCACGCGCCCGGGTCATGTCATGTTCTCTATATTTTTACGCACTAAAACCCAGAAAACCCAATAATGGTCCTAAGTTTAAGCCCCACACTACGAATGTGCTGGTAAACAGGCCAAGATGGTGCCAACAGGTTCTTCCAAGAATCTCACCTTAAGACGAGGCATTCATATTGATGTGGGAAAATTTAAATTCTTTGCTTGTCCACCGTATAAGATTAACATTTCAATTTAATATTAATGCACACGATTTCTTTCCGCTGGTCTTGTGTATAAAACGCAGAGTTTATATTCAGGTTTAAAGGTCATGTTTTCCTACCAGAGTCCAGAATTTTGTGTCGAAATGTTCTTAAATACGACACTGCTCCGACACATGTCTGCCTTACCCTAGCGACCCTCCTCCTTCTCCTCCTCTTGCCTCTTATTGCTTTGCTTCGTCACAGGTGGCTGGCAGTGGCTAGGACACAAGGGAGATGGTAATGCCTTGTCAGGGCCAGGTTATGGGACACCACGCAGCGGTCCGTGGTAGAGGGGGAGGAGAAGGGAGGGATGAGGTGAGAGGGAGAGGAGAAGGGGGGGGGGGGATGAGGTGAGAGGGGGAGGGGAGGTCGTCATCCACCCCACCACCACACTGTCATAGAAGACGTCATTTGTCAACTTTATCAGGGTGTTCAACATTCGCTTAATTTACAATATTATATTTTTTATACACTCCTTACATATTTCATGCTCTGACTTATGATAAAACACTTATGTTATTTTCGCTTGTCAGTTGTGAAGGCTTAGGTATTGACCTATAATGGTAGTCAATGTGAGGTGGATTGAGACGCAGTTTGCTCCTGACGTTATGAGACGAATTTATTACAGGTGCTTTTAATGGTAGTACGTGAGGACAAGGTTCGGGGTTTAGGAGTAAAGTGCGTAACAGGGGAACGTGACCACCTGCATGCTTAGTGATACGTTCGTTGTCCCTCACGTTCTGAAGCCATGGCCAGCTAAACCACTGAGAAGAAGAATAAGACGCAAAAAAAACTCGCATAACCACTCAAAAATACAAAAGCACTCACAAACAAAAACATAAACAAAGCTTAAACACACACACACACACACACACACACACACACACACACACACAGACACACACATTTTTTTTTAATATCTTACAATTAAATTCAGTACATGGATAATAAACTCTACGGACGTTGCCCACCACGTTTCAGTATTTCCCCCTCGGTATCTGGCTATTAATCGATGAGGAATTAAAAAAAAATAACCAGTTTCATAATCCATGGGAGTTTTCTTTTACTATCGTTAAATAATAATAGAAATAGATAGAACCTTTTGAATCTATATGTATTTGTGTATAAGTGACGTGGCGCAGAACAAAAGAGCATCACAATATGACTTAATCACTTCACGACCAATGTTAAACGTCATGAAGTAAGGGTACTATGAACTTGTCGCGGAGCAGGTGTCTTAAAGAACGAATTATGACGCAAGAATACTGTAAACTGGTTGTGACGCAAGAATACTGTAAACTGGTTGTGACGCAAGAATACTGTAAGCTGGTTGTGACGCAAGAATACTGTAAGCTGGTTGTGAAGCAAGAATACTGTTAACTGGTTGTGACGCAAGAATACTGTAAACTGGTTGTGACCTAAGTGTCTTTGGTAGCTGGTCAGTGACAGAAATGACTTCAGAGTTTGCCATAAATATATTCACACTCTAGTCTTTTTCTGAAACCCAGCGTGTTGACTATCTGCTATGGCCAGTTCTCTCCCCCCCCCCCCTTGAGCCGTCTATCATTGTTTACAAAATACTATTACATTACGCTTCATTTGGTTGCAGCGAGTCTGGTCAAGTACTCGAACCCCTCTGCCTGGCCTCTGACGACAAGATGTGTGACGATGTGTTATTAAAGAAAATTTTAAGAAAAGATTATACAGAACTGAGTCGTCTTTTTGGAGAACATGGATTATCAACTATGGGTTACGCTATAAGAGAGGCATATGCCCTGAACACTGAAGATAAGTTGTAAATAAACACTCGGGTAACACTATGAACCACAGACTCGTTCACACATAGATCATCTTGCTGACTGACCAAGCTCACGCGGCGGGTTAAATAAACTGGTACTATACGTTTCCAGCGTTTTAAAAGACATAAAATGATGATAAGTTTCTTGATAACTGGCTAAGTCTTACAGTCATCTAACACGAAGCAGTTTATGATGTTCAAATATTTGGTTGCCGGTGTTATGGGTGATAAACTCATTTTTAAATTTCTCTCAGTAGCGCATAAACTCAGCTGACTCCTTTCCTCACAGTCTTATGTCGCCAATAAATGTCAGGGAGAGTTACAGGTGAATTAAGACTAGTATGCAGGGAAGAGTTTATCTTCCTGACGAAGTACGTTTGTCTCTTGACCGGTGGTTGATGCATGACGGGAAACAAAAACAAAATGGCAACGGACTTGCTTGTGACAACAGGAGGCCAGCTGGTGTCGAACCTGCTGTATGACTCATCACTATGGTCAGGGGACAACACACAAGTTTATTTCGGCCACCAAATATTCTCCCTGGCTGTGTAGTCGTCACCATATACAGACATACACTTGTGGCTGAGAACGAGAACACTACCTCATATAATACGGTGTGAGGATAATCAACATACAGACGATATAGAGCATAACAGTGTGTCGTGATTACTGACGGGAGTAGTGTAAGTGTAAGTGTAGTTCCTCCTGTCTGTAGCAACCAGGACACTAGCCACTGTCAGCCTTACAGTATATTCAACAAATCACATGAGACGTCCTGCCGAGTACTGTCACCCTTTACCCCACTCGCGTAAACCACATTGATGGGGGCTTGATTAAGACATGTGGCTGAGTGTTTAACTATCAGAATACTAAAACACCATAAAAAATACGACTATACCTAATTACTTATTGGAGGCAGAGATAATACCCCCATAACTTCTAAACAGGTTTTTGGTAACAGAAGTTCAAAGATTCATTTCATAGTGAGAATTTGTGCGTCTGTAGATCTCCAGCCAACACCCGGTATAATCCTCCCACAGATCTTAGGTAAATAAATCTCTTTGCTGTAACCTATGGTGAGCCGGAACACAAAAACAAACCTCAGAGTGACATACCATCTTCATTTTTTGTTACACTGCTCTGTCTTCCTCTCTCTCTCTCTCTCTCTCTACCATAACTCTTGCTTTTTTTGTCTTTATTCCCTCCTTTGTTAAACATTTCTGTCTCTTTCTTGCCTCGTGTTTAGTTGTTATTTATTTCTCTTTGATCATTCTTCTACTCTCTCTATCTCTCTCTCTGTATCTCCTCCTAACTCTTACTTTACCTTATCTTCCCTCTCCCTCATCTCAAACTCCATAACGTAATATATAAACAGATCTAGAATCAAATACCATATACAAATTCTCGCAAAAAAATAAAATAAAATCAATACTTTCTTTACTTTCTATTCTTCTACATTTCTAGGACTTTTGAGACACAATGTATAGATGCCAGGATATATCAGTGATGGTAAAAAGTGTATGATGCTATTGTAATGTGTTCTGATCCAGTTACTTGAATTTATGAATCTGTAATTTCTTCCTGTGTGTGTGTAGGTAAGTTACACCTCAGTACCAGCCTTGTATTAGGTGACAAACAGACCTCCCACACCTTTTCCTCCCACTCCCCCACCCTTCGCCCACGCCCCCTTCCTCCTCCCACATCTCCCTACTCCCATACCTCCTCCTTCCTCCCACGCTTGTGCCATCATCCTCTTTATCCACTGTGCATTTCTTTGACGCCTGTTTCAGTCATTTGTCACATCCTCATCAGATTCCTTTCATGTCAATCCTCCTCCTCCTA